TTAATCAGGAATGAAGGAACAACACTGGAATATAACTCGATGACAAGTTCATCGAGTCGAAGATTTGGTTGTACACCACTTGTATGTGCCGGATACCATTGTGTCAAATTTTTTCTGAAATTAACTTTAAAAGTACTAAGTAAGATCATGAGATATAGCAATATATGTTTAAACCAACTTATATTTTGGTTGTACACCACTTGTATTGTTGCATGCTAAGTTCGGTCAATGATAGAAATTGAGTGGAAATTAATCGTCGAGGAAGTACGATTATGTAAAGTAAAAAAATGTTGTGGGATTTTTAATATTATATATTATTTTATAATAAAATTTTTTGAGTCATTTTAAGAAGCACATATAATTTTTTGAATTTAAAAATTAAAGTAGTGTCAAACGAATTTATCACTTAATTTAATACTCAGATTTCTTAAAATTAATGAAAAAAAGGTTTTCTGAGAACTTTTGAGAATGGTTTTCAAATTCCATTATTGAAAATATATAGGTATTGTATGAAATCCAAACTCTATATTTATTAAAATTCTAAATTTTTAATAAAATAACTTTTCAGAGGAATATGATTTTGAATGGTTGATTAATAAGTATAAAAATGTCTACGATTTTAAGGAGGGAATTGTTCCTTATGAGGTATACATCATAACTATATACCTCATAAGGAACAATTCCCTCTTGATAGCTGGGAAACTTTCTCTGAATAACTTATCATTTGGAGAAAGTTTCCCAGCTATCTATTAGAAACTAAAAGGCTGTGAGGCACTAATATATAATCAATGCCTCATAGCCTTTAGTTTCTTATTAAAAACGAGAAAACTTGTTCGAAATGATAAACAATTTCGAACAAGTTTTCTCGTTTTAAGGAGGGAATTGTTCCTTATGAGGTATACATCATAACTATATACCTCATAAGGAACAATTCCCTTTTGATATCCTGGATATTTTTGAATATATTTTTTGAATTAAAGTTCTCAAAAGTATTATCAAAAGTGATTTTTTAAAAAATATCTCCAATTAATTAACTAATTAAAAGTATTATATTTTTAAAATTAAATAGTTTTTCAATTTTTTTGAAGGAATTGAGATACTTCCCACGACAATAAAATTGAGAGGTTTACATTATGACTGATCTTAGCATGCAACATTATGTGCCGGATACCATTGTGTCAAATTTTTTCTGAAATTAACTTTAAAAGTACTAAGTAAGATCATGAGATATAGCAATATATGTTCAAACCAACTTATATTTTGGTTGTACACCACTTGTATGTGCCGGATACCATTGTGTCAAATTTTTTCTGAAATTAACTTTAAAAGTACTAAGTAAGATCATGAGATATAGCAATATATGTTCAAACCAACTTATATTTTGGTTGTACACCACTTGTATGTGCCGGATACCATTGTGTCAAATTTTTTCTGAAATTAACTTTAAAAGTACTAAGTAAGATCATGAGATATAGCAATATATGTTCAAACCAACTTATATTTTGGTTGTACACCACTTGTATGTGCCGGATACCATTGTGTCAAATTTTTTCTGAAATTAACTTTAAAAGTACTAAGTAAGATCATTTATTTTTGCATAATATAATGCCAATATGGTTTCTTTTGATTTTATTTCATTTATAAGCAAATCAGATTTACCCAAAAACTCCACTCCATAAGCGTTCATTTGCTAAATTAAAAAGTGACAATGGGCTAGTCTGTCTCTTTCTCTTTGAAAATTATAAGTTTTGAAAAAAAACCGTAAATCATTATTGAATCTAAAAATATTTATGTACAAAAAGTCGGTATATATTCTATAATTATTTAAAATAATGAAAAAGTTGATTTGTGAATCATTGAAATATTAATGCTGTTATATATATATATCAGATGATATAAGATGATTTTTTTAAATAAAAAATAAAATTTAATTTTTTAATTGTTAAAATAAGAATAGTAAGCTTGACAAGTAATTTAAGTTTTTGCTTTGTAAAGTTATTTGGTTGGCAAATGCATTGTGTCACTTTTTGTTTGAGTTCACTTTCCGTAATTTGTCTTATGATAATAATTTTGGAATGTTCCCAAAGGTTGAATTAATCAATTTTCATTTAACTGGGAAAAATTTATTTGCTGAAAAAGCAGATGAATCAGAAAAAGAATTATAAAAATGGATAGACAACATACTAAGTTTGTTATTACGATATTTTGCAAGATCAAAAACAGAAGAATTTAAGAATCTCGTCATTCGTCAATATTATGAAAGATATGTTATTTATAAGAGCAAACCTAAACGAAAAGAAACAATATTAGATAATGGCAATACAAATGAAGAAAAAATTAAAAGATGGATCTCTAAAAGGAACAAAGATTGCGTTTGCATATTGCAATTAGTTTCTTATGAGCAAAAAATATTCTCTCTTAGGTTAATTTTAGACAAAATAGCAGGTTATTCTTATGATGATTTATTAAATAGCCATTTGTCATTTTGGGATGCAGCCAAGAGTTATGGATTAATAGAGTCGAAACAATAAGAATTACCGAAAAAGTGACAAAACATCAAAAACAGGGAGGGGTCTCAATTTTTATTACTTATATTATTTTACAATATTTATATAAATACTCTTTATAATATATTTTACTATAAAATTTATACCTCAAATTCAAATATTTAAAATATTATTTACATAATTATCTCAAAATTATATTTTTATATATTATTTTTCATATGTATAAATCATATAATCTATATCTATGCAAATCTCATCTAAATTTTTTTGAAACAAACCGCTACCATTTTATAATGGTCCATCTTAAATTCATCATAAATTCTGGTACATGTTAGTACCAGAGTCTTCAAATCTCAAACACTCTGGTACCAACATGTACCAGACGCGAGTTTCCAATGCCTCGTACGATTTTCTATTAAGATCTTCTTGAATGAGAAGGTCTTCATAGAAACTCGTGCGAGGGCTTCTCTTTTAAATACTCTGGTACCTGCTGGTATCGGAGTCGACTTTACAGCCCTTTCCCCAATTTTGAAGCTGGGGAAAGTTTTCAAGCAATGAAAGGGAAGCTCTCGCTATGAGGTGAAAATCTAGAATTTTTACCTCATAGCGAGTAATCCTTTTTAATTGCTTGAAAACTTTCTTCAAATTATCAAAATTTCGAGGAAAGTTTCCTTGCTTCAAAGTAGAGATGGAGCCCTTTGAGCCACTGCATATAGGTCAGTGACTCAAAATACTCCATCTCTACTAGAAATCGCCAAAATTTGGGTCGCAATCTTTGAAATGCGACGCAAGTTTTGGCAATTTCGCGAGGGACTTGCTCCATTTGGTGCATAGATTCACACTCTATGCACCAGATGGAACAATTCTTTCGCTGACAGCGGGAAACTTTGTCTGAATAGTTTAACATTCAGACAAAGTTTTCCGCTGTCAGAGAGGGAATGGAAGGGTAAGAGGTATACATTATGAATATATACCTCTTACCCTTCCATTCCCTCGAGAAAGTTCAAAAACTTGGGTGCAATCAGTTCTGATTGCACCCAAGTTTTTGAACTTTATATAAGGAATTGTTGGCTATGATGTACTGATCATGAATCAGTACATCATAGCCAACAATTCCTTCGCAAACAGTGGGAAACTTTGTCTGAATAGTTTAACATTCAGACAAAATTTCCCGCTGTCAGGGAGGGAATTAGAGGGTGGGAGATATATCGATAGACTATAAATCTCTCACCCTTTAATTCCCTCAAGAAAGTTCAAAAACTTGGGTGCAATCAGAACTGATTGCACCCAAGTTTTTGAATTTTGTATAAGGAATTGTTGGCTATTGTTGTGCATGAAAATTCGGTTCACTTCACTTCTGACAAAAGTGACAAGTTTACATGGCAAAAATAGTTTACATGGCAAAAATATATAGGGTATTTTTTTTAAAAGTAGTTATCTTTATATATAAAAATAAAACTTTTGATATATTTGAGTAAATGATTTATTAATTTATTTATTTATTTTTTTTAAATCAAATCATATAAATATATATATATATAATAGTGAAATAGAACAAGAGATAATTATTGATGATTAAATTGTAGACGAGGATAAAAGTTTAGATAAATTAATAAAATTAGTGTGGAATCAGACAAATTTCGGGTTGTTTGGGAAGGAATTGTTGGCTATGATGTACTGATTCATGATCAGTACATCATAGCCAACAATTCCTTATATAAAGTTCAAAAACTTGGGTGCAATCAGTTCTGATTGCACCCGTTTTTGAACTTTCTCGAGGGAATGGAAGGGTAAGAGGTATATATCATTAATGTATACCTCTTACCCTCTTCCCGCAAACAGCAAACTTTGTCTGAATAGTTTAACATTCAGACAAAGTTTCCCGCTGTTTGCGAAGGAATTGTTGGCTATAATGTACTGATTCATGATCAGTACATCATAGCCAACAATTCCTTATACAAATTTCAAAAACTTGGGTGCAATCAGTTCTGATTGCACCCAAGTTTTTGAACTTTCCATTAACAATTGTTCAATCACATTTATACAACCCAAATCTATACCAATCATACTCTTATTCATACATCATATTTTAAAAACTTTTTTGCAATATGATGTTATTGCAACAATTTTTTTTCTTTTCTACTTCCAATTAGCACCTTAAAAACATTAGACACAATCACTGGCTCATATGCTCCTATTCTGAATCTAACACTATGCAAATTTATACAATTCTCCACAAATCTTACATTCATTTTAATTTCAACGACCATTATTACCACAAAGAATCTTACCTTCCCTACAAAATCTAACTATCTATCAATTTAAAAAATGTTACAAAATATTAAATGATTTTTTTTCTATACGTAATTTAAAGTTCTTAAACTCTCAGCATCAGAATATCCTTACATAGCTTAGCTATATATCGTATTACTTTATGAATAAAAAAATTATTTAAATTATAATAAAATGTTTATTCGTATTTTTACTTTATTTTTAGTTACGAGGCTGTATTTCGAACTCAGGATTTGGGTTTAAGTCCTTTGTCCATTTAGGACCCTGGTCCCAAATTGATTTTGGAGTAGGTTTTCCACCGAAAAGATCTTTAAGAGCTGTATGAACCCATACTGTGTTGTATTCTTCTATTGCGTGAGGTAAAAATTCTCTTATTTCGATAAAATCTGGGCGAGCCGAAAAGATTGTTTGCCAAAAACGTTCTATTTTACCATTTAACTGTGGTGTGTAAGGTTCTGTCCGATGGTGTTGAATGCCATTTACTTGAAGAACGTTTTTGAAGTCCTTTCCTGTAAATTCGCATCCATTATCTGTCAAAAGTTCGTATGGAATAATTTTAATAGAGTCGATAGGAAGTCTTTTTGCCAATAGAATATTCAAGATATGCCGTAATATAAATCTGATTTTCATTTGGCAGATCCACTTCTTGTCTTTCCATTTTTTTTGAATCAATTTATACAAATAAACTATAAAACACAAAATTATTATTTTATAATATAATTCTTAGATAATACATCCGATATGTAAAGTGTCAAAAATGAATTGAACCGAATTTTCATGCATTACAGAATTGTTGGCTATGATGTGGATAGCCGCTGCCAGACCAAATGAATTAACCGTTGTGAATAACGTTTCTGAATCTTTATTTAAAAAAGATAAAATATCACGATTTTGGCTGCGTTAAATCAAAGAATTGATGTTTTTGTCAAAAATCTTTAGAAGAAGTTGCACCCAATTACTTTTATCGTATTAAAAACGATTTACTTCAAACAGGTTTTATTCCTTCAATTAGAATTCGCGAGCCTCGATTGACAGATTATAAAACAAATTGAAAAGAGAAGTTCAATCACGTTATACCAAGTATTAAATTTTTGTTCAGAATCAAGAAGCCAATTTGAATTCATTAGATTTTTATTGGAAATGCTGAAGAAAAAACTTTCTCAAATAAATGAGAAGATACAAAATTCAATTACATATTTAAGATCGTTTGAAATTCTAAATGAATTGTTAGATACGTATATGTTAGAAAATTAATGAATTTTGTTATAATTCTCCAGATTATATTTTAGAACATTTCGAAGAATTTTTGGAGGATTTCAAAGAAAAGAATAATTTAATAGACTAAAAAATATTATTTTTATTTATTGTGAATTTTAAATTGTCACTTTTTAAGTGTTACTCCCTATTGAAAGTGTCACTTTTTGGGTGTCACTTTTTCGAAAATTCTTATATACTCAGACAAAATAGCAGGTTATTCTTATGATGATTTATTAAATAGCCATTTGTCATTTTGGGATGCAGCCAAGAGTTATGGATTAATAGAGTCTGGCGAAGAAGCCAAAATTTCTTTAATAAAAGCAATAAAGCAGGGTAATAAATATTTGAATCCTGATGTATTTGGATTTGACTATCGCTATAATGGACAAATAAAGAGAGAAGTTATTTCCTTCATTGATGCAAAACATGGAATAAAAGGATGGATTTAAACCTCAAATCGATTCAATCCCATAAAAAGTAATTTTCGGATTAATCAAAGGATATGCATCAAGTTATTCATTTCCCAATGTATTGCAATGAAACAAGATACTACTATTAATATCTTTTATTTACTCTCGCTCATGCTGAAATCTCCAAGTGGATATAATACATATGGTGTTGATTTAGAGAATTTTGATACATATGATACATTTGGGTCTGAATTGGTTTATCGTAACCCAAATGAGAGCATACCAGATCAGGAAAAACATACCAAACATAACAAATGCTTATCTTGCATTATATTACGTCATCCAAACAAATGGATCAGATTGTCAAATCGATTTTCAAAATAATTTCAATATTATCGAATGTAAAGCGTTCTTGTGAGTCATATTCCTTGCATCTGAGACACATTGTATGCGCAAGCACTTTTTATTTAAAACATGTTGTGCATGAAAAATAGCGTGACTTCACTTTTGACAAAAGTGACACTATTTCTGATGGTTTTGTCATTTATTTGTCAGATTTATAAATGGATAATAATGCTGTAAATCAGATATTAATTAAAAATATTTAAGATTTATGTTTGAATTGAAAAGCAAAATGATATTTTTTTAATTGAAAAACGTTAATATCTGATATTTTGAAGTTTGTAATATTTGTTAGTATCTTAAATTATTGAATGCATACGTTTTTTATGTTCTCAATTTTAAAAAAATTGTGAAGAATTTAGTTTTTTGGAGATGGATGTTTAATATTGGCAAACCCAAATTTTAGCTAAAAGTGACAGGGGAAAAAAACGTTTAGTATTAAAAAAAGACCGATGAGAGCTTCGTTCGAAATATAGAGGGAACTGAGAATGCGCAACCATTCTCAGGGAATATTGGATGCTATTCCCGTTCCCTCTGTATGGAAAATTGAGGTTTTCAAAGGGAGTTAAAATAATATCAAATTTATACTAATTTACTTCAAAATACAAAAGTATTTGACAGCTAAAATTAGTTACTTTAGCAAGCCTATCAATACCCTTTTACGATTATTGCTACTTTTTCGAAATAAAAGTAAAAACAAATTTATACTAATTTACTTCAAAATACAAAAGTATTTGACAGCTAAAATTAGTTACTTTAGCAAGCCTATCAATACCCTTTTACGATTATTGCTACTTTTTCGAAATAAAAGTAAAAACAAATTTATACTAATTTACTTCAAAATACAAAAGTATTTGACAGCTAAAATCGGTTACTTTAGCAAGCCTATCAATACCCTTTTACGATTATTGCTACTTTTTCGAAATAAAATAAATTTATTATCAAAAAACCTTTTTTTCTTAGTAAAAATAAAAATGTTATTTTATATCAAGTTTTTATTCATAAATTTTTATAATGTTGTATAAATTTGAAGGTGGAAATCTGTAATAATTTTATCTTGAAAAGACTTGGCATTCTCAACAATGAATTGAGGGGTATTGCATCCAAATTCTGTAATTTGCGTGAGAATACTAAGCTTGATTTCCATTGGGATACTTAATTTCGAAAAATACTGGGTCATTCGTTTTTGAACCTTTGCTGCCTTGACAACTTTATCAAGTAGGTCATCTAAACCCAATTGAAGCGTATTTAAGTTTGCTGATGAGTTAACTATTAACGATTTAATTTTATCAGTGAGCATTATACATTTTTCTGTATCCAGTCTGATTGTAGACTTTTTTGGCTTTTTTTCAGATGGCAACGGATTTGGAATTTTGTCTCTGAGCCTTATATCTTGAGAAATTCTGTAATAAAATGAAGGAACGATAAAATCGATTAATTTCATCACAAATCGATCAAATCTCATGAAAATTGTTCCGCCAAAGTAGTAATATTTAATTTTTTTGTTAATCGATTCTGAAATGTTATTTGTGAGAGCTAAATTTTCATCTCTTTCAGCGGCTGTCCATCTTTCTTGGTTTGATATCCATTGATTTTGTATGTATTTTGAAAATTCTGGGAATTTTTCGGCTATTTCCAGAATTTTTTTGAACGTTGGTTCAATCCATTCTTTCTTGCCATTTCTGCCGTATGCAAGATAGTTCATTTTTGTATCTAATATCAATTTGTCTGAACTCTCAAATGCATAATCTTTCAAATTTTTTCTGAACGCCCTCATTACATGAACTGCACACCAATGAAGGATAACTTCTGGAAAAGAGTTGATAATCGCATTTTCGATTTCTTGTGCACAATCTGACATAAAATATTTTGGTTTTACTTTTGCCCAGTTAAAAAATGCCTTGAGACAGAATGCAATATTTTCTGAAGTGTTTGGATAAACGACAAATTGAAAAATTGGGAATGCATGTGTATTTGGAAATTTGGCTGATATCATGTAAAACAACATTTTAAATTCAAGTAATGAATGGGTTGCATCAATAAAATGCTCTTTCACAATTTTGATTATGTCCAGAAATTTGAAAGAAGCATAATAAAAGATTAATTTCTTTGGTTTGTTGTAATTATCGACATCGAAATAAATTAAATCTTTTGGTGACTCTTGTTCTTTGATACCCTTAAATAATTGAGTTGACTTGAATTGATTATCATCGTACTTTTGAATACCTTTGATCTTTTTATTTCCTTTTTCCTGAATTGTTTTCATTTGATCTGAAGATGCATTCAAAAAAGATGGCCTGTTAAGTGGATCATCCAGATCAAGTTTTTTGTCGCATTCAATTTGAGCCATTTTCGGATCACCCCCTGTTTTATAAAATTAATAAGTACCCGACGATAGCATTGTGATAATGTGTGGTATTTCTTTGTCTCATCTTTGATTTGATTGTGATTATGTGTTCCATTATATTCTGTTAGGATATATTCTTCATCATCCTTTAGAAATGAGATACATGCTTCACATTTATCTGCACTGCACCTGAATTTTAATTTTGTTCCCCCTAAATTTGGATTTTTTTTAATTGATATGGACAACCTGCATGGCATTCGTTATCAATGACAGCTTTCATAGCATCTATATAAGATAGCCTTTCTTTAAGTTCGCATGGTGCATCGATATGCATCAAAAAAATGAAATGAAATTTCAATATCAAAAAAAGCACAAAATTTGAAAAAAATTCACAAATCTCGGTTTCTGAAAGAAAATGGCCTCTTAAACTTTGTGCATATATTCATCTATAAGACACATTGTATCCATATATTATTTAGCCAACACAACTTATCTGGTATCGAGAAAATTCAAAAAAAGCACAAAATTTGAAAATTGCTCGGTTCTACATTCAAAATAAATTTCATTAATTTTTAAGTACATATTAAGGTACTTATCTTCTACATATATAATCTTCATTAGATATATACATGATAAATAAAATTCATAAAACATTAAAAATCAAAAAATTAGATGAACCTTGGCAATTAAACTTTATTAAATAATAGCTGTTTATAAATTATATTATATTATCATTTAATATTATTTTGATAATGAAGATTTTATTTTGCAATAATATAAACGAAATTTTTTACCTTATGAACTTTTGATGGAAATATGCAAATTTAAAATAATAAAGAAAGCCGCGAGCGAAGCGATCGGCTTAGTTCGAAGATTTTGATTCAAATCTTTGCTGATCTGTAATTCGCGGAAGCCGCGAGCGAATCGAGCGGCTTAGGTCTAAGATTTTGATTCAAATCTTTGCTTATATTCCTTAAATTCTTTATGAAACTCGCAACAGTTCCATAAAAAATTTTAAATTTTAAACTGTCGAAATTACCGATCGGTAATCACACCCTTCACGGGTGTGTCACTTTTAGCTAAAATTACCCCTACTCGTTTAATATTTGTGAGTGAGAATGCAAGCAGGAGTTTGGTACTTTAAGGCTAAGTTGAGATAGATTTCCCATTATATTATCTGTGAATATATTGTTTGAAAATTCAAGATATAAAAATATATTATCAAAAAATTTTATATTTTTAAATACAATAGGGTGGAAATATAGTACGATGAGATAGCAATGATTATTTATAATGGGGGTAATCTGAAGATAAGTAGCAAATTTTATGCGATTTTGATTGGGAGTTGGGGGTGTGAGTACTATAGCATGTAATAGTATCTCACACCCTCCAATTCTTCCTATGGCGCCGAAAAATTTTTGGTGAAATGCGACGACATTTCACCAAAAAATTTTCGGCGCCATATAGAGAACTATAGTCTGCGAGGTACTGATTCTATCTATGTACCTCGCAGACCATAGTTCTCAGCCAAAATGTCAAAAATTTCGGAAATTCGAAATAATTTTTTTTAGAAAAAATTAACCGTTTAACATAATATTTATAATATTGCTTATTCAATTAGACGGATTAAAAATTATATGTTTTCTTTTTATTTTTTCAATTAAATTATTAGCTGACCCGAATTTGTATAAGTTTTTTAAAATAGATATCAAAAATTAAATATAAAAAAGAAAACAATTAAGAATATTAAAGTAAATTCTTTATTAAGAAACAATAAAATGAAAATATAAAACTTTGTATGATTTGAGTGGATATTGAGAGTAATTTGTGAGCGTGCTTCGGCTGCATCCGCTAATTCCTTCTTCATTCTTAACATTCTTTGTTTTATTTAGAACTATATTATCTTATTTCTAAAAATAATACTGAATTTTTTAAAAAATCCAAATGTAATAAATGTAAGTGTTTATTCCTTAACTTCCTTTTTGTGATTTTTTGAATTTTCTTGTTTTTGAAATTATTTGTTAATCTCTAAGATTTTTTTCGAAGCCTGGTTCAGCGCAGAGATCTTTTGTCCATTTGGGGCCTCTTTCCCAGGCCTCAAATGGAGTCAATTTCTCCCCAAAGAGTTTGAATAATGCGGAGTGTTTCCATACCCTATTATACTGGGAAACAACATTGGGGATGAACTCAAAGACGTTCACTCCAGGGTTTGTCTTGAAAAGAGTCTCCCAACTCCTTTCAATTTTTCCATTTTCCTCTGGAGAGTACGGATGAGTTTTGAAATGTTTTATATTGAATTCTTGGCAAACCGCTTCAAAATCTTTTCCAATGAATTCTGTTCCATTATCTGTGAGAATTCCATGTGGAACTAATTTGACTAAATCAATTGCGTGACGAAATACTCTGGCAGTATTTTTCATTTCTTTTGTATCGAAAACATCCCAGCAAATAATGTATCTGCTTCTGTCATCAAGAAATGAAATTAAATATTGAAGGTTACCGTTATCGTCCTTCAGAAATTTCAAATCAGTATGCCACAATTGATTAACATATTGAGCAACGTATTCATGTGGATGTTCGTCGATTTTCTGATGCCTGTGAAATGTAAACAAATGTTGTTGATTGAAAATTTTGAAAGCATCGTTGAATGTAAATCTTTCGACTTTTTCGAAATATGATTCTTTGATCCTTTTGTATCCAATGTCATATTGTGCTTTAATTTCCAAAACTTTGTATACATCTTCCTCAAAAATTTTTTTCTTTGGTCTTCCTCTTTCTTTTATTGGATAGCCGAGTAGTACGAAAATTTTTTTCAAACGTTCTTTTCCTATTGAAAGTGTTTTTGCCGTATCTTCGAGAGTTACATTTGGATTATTAATGTATTCTTGATATTTTTCTTCAATTACGTTGAGAACCTGATCGGCGGGAACGGTTGGGAGTTGAAAAGTTTTAAGATCTTCTGGGTTTTCGAGACGAACCAAGATGTCTTCCATTTTTTAATTTGTAAATTTTTCAATTTTTCAAGAGATAATTTAAAAATACTAGTTATTTGATAAAATTTGTTTATTTTAAATAAAACATTTTTTTTGAAAAAAATTATATTAATGATTTGAAGGCAAAAGCCAAAAACTTAATAGATAAAACGCTCTTTCTATATAGATCAACTTCTATTATTAAATTTATAAAAATGGAGAGATTTTGCAAATTATTTTCTAATATATTATATTTATAATCATTTTATTTATCCCATTAATAATTGTGAACCCAGAACATCTTCCCTTCAAAGTGCCAAGCATCAACACACATTCTCACTCACAAATTTTTAAAACTCATTGCCAAAAATCTAAAAAACTCACAATTTTTTTTAAATTGATAACCCTCAAACCGTTTCCAATCAATAATTTGAGAGTCTATATGATAATGTAAAAGTTAAAACATTCAAGTATTTAAGTATTTCTTTAAAATATTAAGTTTTTTATTTTTCCAATGAGAAAGGGACAGACTAGCCCATTGTCACTTTTTAATTTAGCAAATGAACGCTTATGGAGTGGAGTTTTTGGGTAAATCTGATTTGCTTATAAATGAAATAAAATCAAAAGAAACCATATTGGCATTATATTATGCAAAAATAAATGATCTTACTTAGTACTTTTAAAGTTAATTTCAGAAAAAATTTGACACAATGGTATCCGGCACATACAAGTGGTGTACAACCAAAATATAAGTTGGTTTAAACATATATTGCTATATCTCATGATCTTACTTAGTACTTTTAAAGTTAATTTCAGAAAAAATTTGACACAATGGTATCCGGCACATACAAGTGGTGTACAACCAAATCTTCGACTCGATGAACTTGTCATCGAGTTATATTCCAGTGTTGTTCCTTCATTCCTGATTAAGTTGCAAATTAAAGGTCTGGATTCAGAGAGAAGTGTTAAAGTTATCAAAAAAGTCACAAGAGATTTCGAAGAAATGACACAATTTAAAAAAGTCGAATGCATCAGTATGCTTGAAGCTGTTCAGAAAGGTCTGAAAAATGATACACTTGATCCCAACATTGTTTACTCAACATTAAAAATATTATTGCAAAGAAAACATTTGATTTAATAAACATTTAATTTATTATAATTAATTTTTTATTACAGTATAGTAAAAAATGCTATAAATAAATTATTATATTTTATTAAAATGTGACTTTTAATAGTAAGTGAATAAAATAAATCAGGAATTGGGAAAGAAATAAGGTTAATTAAAAATAATGAAAATTACAAGTTTAAGGTTAATGAAAAAGTGACAATGGGCGAGTTTGTCCCCCACTCTTTTTCCTATAATATTCTAATATCAAATATTTTTATTTAACGATTAATTTTATTTATATTTTTATAGTTTTTTTTAAGAAAAAATAGTGTTAGGGTTTTATGGATTTTCAATTAATATACAAGATAATTCATGAATGTATATATTTCCAAGTTTTTAAGGATGCAACACTTTACATTTGTAAACTGTCAAAAATGAAGTCACGCTATTTTTCATGCATTACAAAATTCTTTAAAACATTTAAATTTATCTTGTTATCATATTCCTATACATATTTTTTCTGTTATATTCTATCTTTATTGACACTTTTTGTGACGCCAGCCCTCTGAAATTTATTCTCGTGACACCGTAAACTTCTCAAAAATAAATGTAAACTTCTCGAAAATAAACGGTCTCCTTTCAAAATTGAATAGTTTATGTCATGACGCCTCGTGACGCCAACTATTGCCCCCACCGATTAATCGCCAACTTTAATTATGTATTTACTATTTCTAGACAAATAAACACGAATGGCTGAATTATTACTTGTTTGGATATAGGATAAAGTTATCATATCTGTTTTTCCAAAGCGACATCCTTACCTGCAAAATATTTCTATTATTGTATCAGGCAAATAAAGTATTTTCATGAGGGGGAAAAAAACTAAACGTCTTTTTAATCAAAGATTTCCAAAAAAACTAATTTAATGGATTCTCATGATGAATATCAAACAGATTCAACTCTTTCTGATAAAATTCATCAAATGTCAATAGAAATCGATTCATTAAAAGCTTCACGTAATTATTACAAGGATCAATGCGAAACGTTATTTGTTTCATTATCTAAAACAGTAACAGATCAAACACCATCATATCGAACACAAAAGGAAGTAGAAGAAACTATTTCCAAAATCAAAGCTCAAGAGGCAGAGAAGAACAAAATTCTCAAACAAAGGTATAAAGAGAGGGAGAAAATATATCAAAACGAAATAATCAAATTACAAGATACAATCAGACATCATGAAAGAATTATTGATAACCAGAAAAATGCAAGAACTGAACTAATTGAGCAATTAATGAGTTATAAAAAGAGATTAACTACATCAGAATCGAAGCTCAAAGATGCAGAGTCTACATTAGAACAAATTAAATTATCACGTAGTTCAATTCAAATAAATTCTCAACAAAGTCAATTAATTAACAATAGCAATACATTAAAAGAAGGAAACACAAATGAGATAAGCCTTCTAAAGCGAAAAATAGTTAAATATGCTAAGCAAATTGAAGAAATGCGTACTTCAGTTGAATTAAGTCAATCACTTAATGACGATACTATAAAAGAAAACAAATCAATGAAAATTAAGATTTCTGAACAAGAATCAATAATAAATGAACTCAAAAAGATGAACGAATCTCAAAAACAACAAGTAATTGATTCTCAATCGTTGCTAGTTAATGCAATAAAAGAAGTAGAGTTGCTTCAAAGCGACGTTGAATCTGCTCAATCAACAATTGATTTGCTTGTCAAGCGCTTATATGAAAAAGAATCAGAATTTAATTCTTATGTTCAAGAAATTGCAACTAGAATAGCAGAAAACAATCAACAAAAGTCTTCAATTAAAGATGGAAGTACAACAATTATAAATCTTCAATCTCAAATTCAAACATATATTCAACAAATTACTGAGCTCAAGCAAACAATAGAAATTAATCAAAATACAACTCAAACTCAAGTTACCACATTCAATAACCAAATATCATCACTTAAATCCACAATTGACTCTCAATCAAATCAAATTGAGGATTTCAACAAGAAGATTCAATCACTCCAATCAGAATTACTTGCAGAAAAACGCCTCAGAAAGGCAGCTGAAGTTGCAAAAGAAGCTGCTGTTACAAATCTGAAGAATGCATATGCTTTACTTGCAGCAAATGAAAATACAAGGAACGAAAGTACAGCAGAAATAGACAGAATCACGACGGAAATGACAACAAAGAATAAAGATATTGAAGAAAAAGATGCAACAATCAAGAATCTTACGGAAGAACTCAAACAAACAGTTGAAAAACTTAATAATTCTGTAAGTTCAGAAGCAAATCTAAGGGATAAACTTAAAGAAGTAAATGACAAATACATTCACATGCAAGAGAATTCGATACTTCGAGAAGAAGCACAGAAAGCAATTGATGCAGTTGCTGATGAAAGAGACAAAGCAATTGAAAGCAGACACCAAATAGAAATTGATCACAGTACTTGCTTGAATGAATTGAATGATTTGAAGATTGCTTTCTCTCATCAAGAATCAACAATTGCTGCTCTTCAAAATGAAGTTAAATCTCTTACAAATGCTAATAAGAACCTTAGATCAAAACTTCTTAATGGTGAAGAAATTTCTGAAATTTCTGAAACAAACGAAATTTCAAATGTCACAACATCAAGATTACTTGATAACCAGGATGACCTTGAAAAAGGAATGGTAATATCAGAAATCAAGTCTCAACTTGAACTAACACAAAAACAATCAATTAAGGATCAAACAACAATACAAGGATTAAGAAATGAGATTGAAAACATCAAGAAATCATTGATTGAATTTGCTGATTCTTTCAAGGAATTTGCAAATTATGTTCCATCAATTGGAGAATCACATCAGCGTTTAATGATGAAGATCAAAAAGATTGATGATATCAATATAGCTATTAAGATTATATCACAATTTATTGTTGATTCTTTCGATGAATGCGTTAGATTTTCTAAGAATACAACACAATCTACAGAAGGAACTTTGTTGCGTTCATCAATATACCATTTAACAAGGAAGATTGACAGTTTGCAGCAACAGAATGCAGCTCAAGCTCAAGATATTAATACATTGCAACAGAATATTCAAGCAGTTTACAGTAACAAAGAGAAATGTGAAGATGAATTACAATCATTCACAAAGACAATAACTTCTCTTCGCGTTACCCTTGATGCAACAAGTAAGAAACTGCAAGAAAGCGAGACAGAAAAGAAGAAACTTAGACAAGAACTCAAATCTGTGCCTTCAATAGTTAGTACTCAACAAAAAGATGAAAGTTCTTTCTCAGATTCTCTAAATTTGTCTGAAATTTCATCACTTGATGAGGATGACTTAAAAACAATAGTCAATGAATCAGAACATAATGAGACTAGAGGAAAGAACCATCCCAGTGAGAGCGCAACAGCTTTAGCAGATTCTCTTGCAATGTTAGATTTGATTTGCCAATAATTGTTATTTTATTTCAAAACTCTTATATGTAAAAATTATTGTTATTTTTATCCAATTAATCATAAGAAAATAAGATTTTGATAAAGTTCCTTTGTTTGTAGGTTAGAAATTTCCTTGTTAGATAAAGAAACAGGATTGATGAGTATATGGAAACTGAATTGTTTGATTTTGACTTCCTGAATGAACTTTTAAGCTAGTTTTATCTTTACCATTTTCCAAGACAGAAATAACTCTACTGAAAAGTAAAATAATTATCCAAATTTACATTTCTTTGTGGGAATTGCTAACTTAGAGGCACAAAAACTATATACATTGAAAAGTTGACATAATGTAACAAAATGGTTCAAACTATAGCTATATTATAGAATGAAAAATCACAAATACAAATGTTTGAACCATATTCTGATAAATTGAATGGTTAAATGAGCATAATAACTATTATTTGAAACGAAGCAATATTATCTGACATTTTTTTTTAAAAAAAATTGACTAATTATGTATATATATATAGAAATATTTACAAATCCTTCTTTAAGAAGAATATCCTGACGTAATTGTGTAACTTCGTCTGGAATAAGAAGTAAAAGAAAATAATAAGAACAATTATAAGTAATTTCGGTCCAACAATCTCTGCCCAAGAGAAAATTGTGTCCTTTCTTTCCTTGTACGAACACATGAAGCAGTCCTTTCGCAATTTGCTTGACAAAGCAAATGAATCTGAAGCAGTAAACTTCAATCCATAAAGTCTATGTTTTCCATTAATATTTAAGTGTCCTCCGATCACTTGTCCTCTGAAAAAGTTCGAGATTACATTGGTCGTTCCTCGATTCGAAGTAATAGAAGGTCCAAGAGGGCTTGTGAAGTGATTTGCATCGATTGAAGAGATGGAATCTGTTACATTGATTGCAGTTCCATGATTCTTGGTGAACTGCGAGTGATGGATCTTGACAGATGACTGGTTTGCGTGAATTGTTCCAAGATTTGCCATATTTTCTGAGAAAGTAGTCTGGTAAATGTCAATTGTACTATTACTATCTGTTAGTATTACTGATTCATCGAACCTGTTCTCTGAAAACTTGGCTTTTTGTATTTGAATATCTGATTTGAGGCCACGTGTATCGATAAATGCTCTGCCCGTGTTACTTCTGAAATCTGCTGTCGAATATACAATGAATTTACTTCCTGGAATGTCGAACATGGCTTTTTCTCCTGAAAAATTATTTCTGAAATCGGATTCATTAAATGTTACAACAGATCCAGCTGAAGTACTTATGAAAGTACCTTGATTGTATTGTACGGAGTTGTTCGAAAAGTTAAATTCGCATGTTCCATCGCATAATAATAATTCTTGGTGATGATTATTCTCCCAAGTGCAATTCCAGAAGCCAAAGCATGATCTAAATTCGAATTGATGCAATGGAGCGTATGGTGAAGCGTTGTTTCGGATGGTAGTATTTGTATATTCGCAAACAGAATTAATTGAGTAGAGAAGAGATTGAGGAGAGTCATGTTTGACAAAGTTTCTTTCGATAATTGTCATATTCAAGTATAAATGTGTCGAAAACATAGCAATTAGTGATGTATTTGTAACTGTATTTTCTGCTAAGTAACATTCATCGAGTTTGCATTTTCCAACACCGAACATTAGCATTGCAATACTTCCTACAACGTAATTATGACTAAATATGCACATAGAAATTACGCCTTGATCAATTTTTCTAAAGCACATAATGGAAGTCTTGAATCCTGTGAAATGAAACTTATGTAATCGCGATTCTGCTGCTGATTGGATGACAATAAACGAAACACCATTTTCACGATAGTTAGTTCCATTAATAGTCATATTATTTGAAGTAACAATTGCTCCTCTTCCTAGGGCAACGTTAAATAAAACGCGTATTTTATCAAGATCATCTGCTTCTTCTATTGATGATCCTGAAATATGAATATAATCTCCTTTAGCAACTTGATTTGCAGCGTTAATGAAGTCACAAGGAGCAAGTAGATGGCAAAATGAATTGTTGAGTCCATTCACTTTTGCATATATTTCTTTAGATAAAGATAGCGAAAGGAAAAGAGTCAACATTATAAAACAAATTTTTTTAGACAACAATTTCGAAACTCAGGAGTGGAGTTAATTTTGTTAATTGAAACACCAATACCAATAAAATACCCATTGCATAGGTGTGCAGATCCAATTGTTTTTAAAACTTTATTCTTTTGATTTATTCGAAATATTACCGCATTGTCTAGATGCCAATAAATAATGATAGACAACAATCAAATGAAACCATGATTTTAGTTAACAAGCACATAATGAAACTCAATGTATGTTATGTTATCCTCAAAGTTAGTTTTTTTACCTATATGATAAAGTTATTTATCTATTCTTCTTCTCAATAAAGATTGTTTTCCATTTTTGAATGAAATTCTTAGGTAAAAAAGGGGGTTGGCGTCCTAAGGCGTCCTAGTGTAAATTTCTCAAAATTGTGATATTTACATCACATTTTTGAGAGGTTTATGGGCGTCCTAAGGGAAAATTGAATAGCTAGGGCGTCCCGAATTTTCATTCTAAGATTTAAATATATTATATACTTAAGTATAATACAAGCAATATAAAAATTAAATTTTTATTATGTTAACTTATAAGAAATTTTTTTGAATTATCGTTGATTTATTGTAATCTTTCCAGGCTATACTTTTGAAATCAACTTTACCTGTCATACGCATTAATGTAGTAGATGTCCAGGTGTAGCTATTATATCCCAGCAACATTGGTATTTTATCATTGTAAGATATCAAAATGAAGCGTTTTTTCAGATATAATTTTTCGTAAATTTTTCAAAAATAAGATGGTAAAAAAGCCTCGACTTGCTCGAAAAATAACAATTTTTTTTACTTGTAAAAATAACCCTTTTACAGCATGGGCAGCTATTCAATCACTATTTCTTTTTCTAAAAGTATATTTTTCAAAAAAAATTAAGATCAAATTCGACAATTTCTTGATGAAAGCAAAAATATTACACATACTTCTAGATGCATGGGATAAAATATGCAATTATTCAATCAATTCGCATGATTTGAAAAAAAAAATCTAAATTTGATAAAAATGTGGAAATTTTTTATTTTTAACTTGAGATTCGATTTTTTTTGATCCAATTTGTGAATTTTTTTTTGATCGGAATTTCAATTAATTTGTTGATCAAAAATGACCTCACAATGTTTGATCATAAGTGAAGTCATCTTCATGGGTATTTAGAAATTCCAAGAGAAATTGCATATTTCTCGCAGATGTAATATCTGAGAAAATCGAATTTAAATATTCATAGAAACCCAAATCATTCTCCGGTTCGAATAATTCATCTGTTGCTTTTTCTGTTTTTTCTATGAATTTTAATAATTTGATTAATAAATCTTCATCAGGAAGAATTATTGTTGCATTTGTGATAAAATTCCATATTGAGGTAATATGGCAATAATTACATTTATAAAATGTAATTTTATCCAAAATTTTTTGGCAAATTCGCATAATAGCATTAATATTTGAAGCTGAGATTAAACCTGTGATTACTTCTGTAACTTTTGGAAAATCATCGCAATTTAATATCTCTTTATATTGAATTGAGAAATAAAAAAAATCAAATGGATTCATTTCTTCAATTTCAAGGAGATTGTAAAAATTGATAGAAGTGTTATTGCAACAAATTGTATTTGCAGCAAAAAATATCATTTGCTCGATTCCATTTTTGGAATAAATTTGCTGGAACAATGTTAAATTAAAACAGTTGCTTAATTTTTCTTCATTGTTTTCATAAAAAAGTAACAAGTTTGCAACTGAAATTTCAAAATTTTGATAATTGCCAGTTATTTCAGTAAATATATATATTTGCTTTTCTTCATCTAAAAATGGCAAATATTGATTTGCAATATTAACTAAAGTTTGGGATAAATTGTTCCAGTTTGATTTTACAATTTGTGAGCACATTATGTAATATGTAAACTTATCCGCTTTGTAGGAATTTAAAATTGTTTGTTGTTCTGTTTCAGTTAAATTACTGAATTTTTCAAGATTAATATTGTGATAAAAAATAGAATCCTTGAAACATTCTGATATTTTTTCAATGTTTAAAACGGATGCTAAAAAATGTAAAAGAACTTCATCAGTCACTGTGATTTTTTTGAAAAATTTATCCCAATTCAAGCATCCAATTGATCTTTCTGTCATTGTACTTATGCATTGATAAAGTTGATTTAATGAATCCGAAGAATAATCATTATGCTTGACTAGTTGAGTTAGTTGATACAGACTGTCGTCAGCCATTTTAAAAAAATGAATAAAATTGTATAGTAAATTATATTTGTGAAATTTGTGACGCTACATTCAATCTAAGACCAATATCTCAAAGAATTACTCATTTAAGTATTACTTTTCATTGTTTTTTAAAAAATATCTTTGCTTATTTGTTCACTTTTTTGACATTTATTATATGCTTTTTATCATATTTCCGATGATATGAATATATATTCTATATAAGAATGACGCTACATTCAATCTAAGACCAATATCTCAAAGAATTACTCATTTAAGTATTACTTTTCATTGTTTTTTAAAAAATATCTTTGCTTATTTGTTCACTTTTTTGACATTTATTATATGCTTTTTATCATATTTCCGATGATATGAATATATATTCTATATAAGAATGACGCTACATTCAATCTAAGACCAATATCTCAAAGAATTACTCATTTAAGTATTACTTTTCATTTTTGATTCAATTTTCGAACGGTTTTCGTAAATTTTGCATCATTTCATTTTTTAATGGGAAAATCATCTATATTTAATCAAAAAAGAGCAAACTTTACAGACGAAAATAAAATATTTATCAGGGAACAATCTGATAAATACCAAAAATCAACATCGAGAGATGAAAAAACGAATATAATCAAACAAGTTCTTCAATATTTTAATATTAAATACCACGAAAATGAATCTAAAGCTGTCAGAAGATATTTTAGTTATATTGCAGTTAAAATATTCCCGCAGTTACTGGAAAATATCCTGATACAATTGTTCGCAAAGATATGCTTTATTCGCATGATCATACAAATATTATTAATTCAAATAATATTGAACGTTACTACCGTTGCATCGATCATTCTTGTCAAGCACGTTATTTAGTTAAAATTGAGAACAGTTCAGTTTCCGAAGATTTACAAAAGGAACATATACCCGAATGCAGACAATTTAAAAAGTTACAAAATGAAAAAAATGATCTTCATAAATCAATGACTCTGACAGAAATATACAATAAGGCAATGGCAAAATTTTCTGAAGACAACGGCACTTTTCAGCAGATTAAAAAATTTATGACAGAACTTGCTGTTGGTACTGATGAAAACCCATTAATTAAAGATTCATTGGTCAGGGAAGTTTATAATAAGTCCAGAAAATTTTCTGTTGGAGAAAAAATTACAGACGATGAAATTGCTAATTTTTGTTTAATAAATGGCGAGCAGTTTTTCATTGGCCATGATTTTCAAGCAAATTGTGAGACGATGTTTTTTGGTTTTGAGAAGGCAATTCAATTTGCAAAAGAAGCCACAGATTTATTTTGCGATGGAACTTTTAAAATTACACCAAAACATTTTCAAAAAGGACAGATGCTAACAATTATGATTTGTGAACCTTCAACAAATCAATATCTACCACTTTTATTTATATTCATGAAAAACCGCACATTTGAATCTTATAAGAAGGCATTTGAATATATTTTTACTGTCAAGGGTATTCAATTTTCAAAGCTAATTCAAATTCATTGTGATTTTGAAAAGGGAATGATAGAGGCACTTCAACAAATTTTCCCTAAAGTCCGTATAATTGGATGCCTATTTCATTTCAAACAAGCTTTACACAGGAAACTTGTAGCACTTTATACAAAAAATTTCAATACTTTACAAAATTCTTTATTTAAGCTATATTCTATTACTCCATTCATGTCTCATGAAGAATTTGTACTTACAATGCATATAATTAATCAAAATAAAGTTGATTCGATCAAAGATTATATTGATTATTTCAACAAAGTTTGGTTGCCGCACTACAATTTAATATCTCAATATAATAATGCAACTGCAATATTCACTAATGATTGCCTCGAGAGTATGCATTCAGAATTTTCTTCGTTAAAACATCCAAACATTTATGAAGCTATTAAGAAGATATCTCAAATCCAATTAGATAAATATAACGCCATCAAAAATAACCAGAAGATCGAGCGCCATATAAAAACCGTTATCACTGATAGCTACAAAAATTATATTCTTGACTGCTTTCAAAAAGAACTTGAGAAAACAATTTTTTCTATCAAACAATACAACGTAAGTGATCTTTCTTTGGCTCAGAACGAGATTTCTCCATATGGTTCCATAGAATCGAGTTCATTGTTCGAAAATATTCCAGTTCATGATGCAGATATACTCAAATCGATCGATCTAACAGATAAAGATACAATGATCACTAAGTTTATTAATGAAAAAAGAGAAAAAAATTATGGCATTATTTAATGAAACATTAAATCATCCAGATTTTAAAGTTAGTATGGTTATCTCGTGTACGGTGGCACTGCATTCCTCCGTACGCAATACTTGTGAATTTGACACTTTACAAAACCGTTAACATATATTTTACAACACAAACGACAACACCAACTTAACCTTAAATATTTATAAAGCCGCCAACCACTTCACCTTACTACTGTAAAAATAAGCGTTCTCACTTACAAAAGTATTGCAACTCCTCCCATTGCTGTGCTTCACATAACAGCTCATAATCTTCTGACTCACTTTCTTCTTCATATAGGTCAAAGTCACTGTCAAAATAAATGTTAGTAAGTTTTGACAAAGCTAATGAAACACGTTTACCGTTTGTATCGTATGCTTGTATAAACTTTCCATTCTTCATTCCTTCATAAACGCTCAAACTAACTTTACCCTTTCTCCCTCGTATCTGATAGAATGTATTTTCACGAGGAACGAAGAACAAATTCTTGAACTCATGACCGTTGTAGTTTGTTATCTCAATAGTTTTCGTCATTTACATCCAAATAAAAATTTTCAGTAAAAATAAAAAATAAACTTAAAAATAAATGATATCACCACCCTCACACGTATGAAAACATAGCGCAAAAATAAATTTAGGTGAAGCGGTGAGGTCTCACCTGTTTTTTCACCTCTTTTTTCACCCTGTTGAATTCATTGTTTTATAACTCTCTTCCTTGGTTTCTTTTTAGTTGCTTTCTTCACATCTGTCTCCAACTTGACTGTCTTTCTTCTTCGGCCGTAATGATACCAGTTACTTCCACCAGTCAATGGGTTAAATGGTCTTTCGTAAGGGTTTCCATACATTCCATAGGGACCATACGGAAGAACTACTGGTGGAGGAAGAGTTCCATCGACTCTATTTAAATGCATTGTTTCACCTTTCATCTGGTCATTAAAGTCTTTTGCGTGTTTTGCAAACTCATCGTCCTTTCCTAAAGCATTTTCTGACTCAGTCGCAACCAAATTGGATGCTTTATTTATGAGCCCTATTTTATTTAATCTTAACTTCTTTGCAACCCAGCCTCCAATCTTCCCTTTATTTGCATCTAATGTCTTCGAAACCCTTCCTCCACTCATTTTATTTACTGCGTCATAAGCTCCAAGTGCTTTTGCTCCAAATGCTAATGCTTTTGTTCCCATTGCGCCTAAAGCTGCCCAAGCTACCATTTACATCATATTAAAATCATCTCTCTTCAATATTATCTCATAAAAGTTCTCGTTACTGGAGAAAGTCAATGAAACATAAGCGTTCTCACGGACTTCGCCCTCACCGCTTTGCGGTCTATCTAACTTATTTCTTATATCATCTATACGCTTCAAAATGTCTGAACAATTGCTAACATCTTCTACAACAGTTATTTCATCATGAATGACCTTCAAGAACAAGCTCATTTAATATGCTATTAAAATCATCTCAATAATGAGTCCATCCTTTCCATCTTTAGGTAGCACAACATCTTTCATTGAAGAAGGTTCGACAAGTCTTATGTTAAACTTACTGACAAAGTTTGTTATACTATAATGCTTCGGTGGCGAATACATGTAGTTTGAAAGACATAATAAAGATTCTTCAGCAAATTCACTTATACTGGATTTTATAAACAATGTTCTCACGAGACCAAACGCCACCAATTGACATCTTGTAAGCAATCCTGCTGAACCTTCAACTGTAAACGTCGATTGGTAACATTCCATGAAGGTCATCTATTGACATCGTTGAGTCACTGTATTTAAATATTTTCTTAAAGCAATCGTCATTATCTAACCATGCAATAGCTTTGAAGTTTTCATTCGAATATACATCTGCTTCATTAAATGTAAAACCTGACTTCTTTGCAGAGATGACTTTAAAATCTATTGAGTTTGTTTCAAAATTATATGCTATGGTAACTTCTGAAGGTAATGGATGCCCTTCCGCAGTCAGTTGTTCTCTCACTACCGTTTGAAGCTTTGTGTTAAAAACTTTCATGTCATCTCCTGTGTCTAGGTTCACATACACAGCAACAGGAAAACTATCTTGCTTCTTTTTTCATCATTATATCTCAAAACATTAAAGTTCTTCAATAATATTGTTCTTCCTGCTGGAATACTTCGAACCTGTCTGATTTCAATAGCTTTCTCACCTCCTACATACTCTACCCAGTGCCTTGGATATTCATAAGTATACTGACTTTCTTGAATTTTGGTTGGTTTCATCATAACGTGTTCATAGTATATCTTTATACTCTTGTCAGTTAGACTCGGTGCTATGTTCTGAATATTTCTGACTTGCATTTTTAATGGAGATAAAATGAAGCATTTAATACATGACGTAGATGAAGACATGAATGAAACTACAGACAAACTTAACTCTTCTCTCATTCTTCCTTTCAGTAAAGATTATGAGTTCTGTTCAAATGGTGTGTATTTCTATTGTGGAAAGATGGGTTCAGGTAAGACATTTAATTTAATTCGTCATATACTCATAACAGAGCGTTTAGGAAACGACTCTTACTATGACCAAATCATTATATCAGCAACTTCAGACTCTATGGACTCAACAGCGAAAACATTTATGTCAAAAGTTCAAGCCTCTGTCGTTAAAGTTCCAGACAGTGAACTCATTGAATTTCTTCAACGTTACATTCGACGTAAGAGGAAATATTATGCCATCGTTGAATTTATACAGTCAGGAATGCAAAAGACTTCTGAGGAGATGGAAAGAATTATTGACAAACACCACTTACGTCAGTACTCAGGAGTTTACGATATGAAACGACTTACAAACTACATTCTGTCAAAACTTTCAAAATACCCCTTCAAAAAATATCCTTCAAATACTTGTTAGTTTGCGACGACTTCGCCGGAAAAGGTTTAGTGTCAAAACCAGACTCACCATTAGCTAATATCATTACTAAAGTCAGACATTACCATTTAACTGTAGCAATACTTATGCAAACATGGAGGTTTTTTAGCTTTAAACATAAAACGTCTCATAACTGACTTCGTTATCTTTCAAGGTTTCTCACGTTATGATATTGAACTCATTTGGAAACAGTCAGGTATAACATTACCTTTTGAAGAAATTTGGGAAGCATATAAGTCTCTCATCTCTCCTCGTTCATACCTTGAGATTCATATCATGACTAATACCATTAAAGTCAAAAATATTCCATGGGAACGACCAACATTGTTTTAAAGTTTAACCTTCAATTGACTGATGGTAAACAAATTCCATGCATCTCTGTCGCCATTTCTGTTAATATTTTTGCTGTCATTCATATCATCCACTTCCCTCATGTTACTTTTGAGGATATGCGTTAGAATAGCTGTTCTTAAATGAAGGCTTTTCACCTTTGAGAGCATAAACTCTATAACTTTCTGCATACTTTATGTTTGAACCTCCTGAGCCATCATTGACATAAATTTTTATAGGCTTCCACCCTTTGTTCATGTTCCTGCTTCTTCCCTTAGCTCTTTTGTTCAGTAGTTCTACATCTTTATACACAGCTCCTGTCTCAGTGAATTCAACAATATTTTCATTCGTTAGCTTTACATTCAAACCCTTGTCGAGTATATTGTTCATTTCATACATATAAAAGGTTTTTATTCTATATGAAATGAGAAGCAAATCCATCTTAGCTGGTGCCGTTAATGTTCCAATTGAACCAACATCAAATGTTGACTCACGAACGACAAACAATATTGTCATAAAGAACTATAGTTCAGAGTGTTTGAAAGAACCAGAACCAGAACTTAAGTCGGTGAATTTAAACTCAGCTTCAAACGCTAACGCTACATCAGATGTTAAGTTAGAGTATCCACCACTGGACCAAATTCTTTCAAGAGAAGCCAACGACAACCCTTACACAAATGTTCAAACAAATCCTTCAGATAACGTAGACCATTACCTTCTTCAGTTATACCAAACAATTTTACTCAAAGACGATAAGAAGCTTTTGACAAATCTTATAAGCAAGAACCAAATAATTCTAACAAAGGAGGACCTTGAAAATGTTATATCACGAATAACAGGGAAACAATGTGTCATTGACTATCTCGACCCTGAAATCGAATGCTGTGGTCAAACGCCACCATTCATGAAAATAGGTAACATCCGCATCATTGAAACACCAGGAACTACAGGAGTTGAGTTTAAGTATAAATATTCGAACGAGTATACAAAACTTTCAACAGAATATAAACTTTGCTTGAAATATGTTTTAGTAAATTAAAGCAATTTGTAATATCTAGCCAAAACTTCTTCAACAGTATCGAACTCATCTTCATAATGCAAACCTAATCTTATTGACTTGGTGCAGTTTTCACTAACACAATATAGCGCTTTGCGCTCGGCGCCTTTGACGCCTTTTTCTGTTCTCTTGACTGACATAACTAACTCATTTGTTTCATCAAACAGCAACAACCAAAGTTCATGACCTAATACATAACATTCATACTTTATATTTTTAGCTCTGAGTTCTCTTGTAAGCTGTTGCATTTAATATTTTCTAAAAAGTCAACTTCAACAGTCATTCGCACTGGTGCCTTCAGTTCTACAGGCTCTCCTTGAAAGTCAACAAGTCTGAATTGCATGTCTTTCAAATTATGAGGACTAATGCGAACCCATTTACCTAAATGAGTTGCTATGACAGGAACATTTGGAATGAACATTGAATTTACTGCATAACAGAAAGACTTATATTCTACTGAACCTTTACTATTAACTCCTGAAATACCTGTGACATTAGCTATTTTTGACTCAATGTACAAACAATTGCCATAACATACGTATGGAACAGATTTCATCTCAATCGTTTTGTCAACACTTTTCAAAGGAAATGTCATATGGTATGCTCCCAGAAGCAATTGAACTCTATGACTCATTCTTGGTATCTTGAACTCTTTCTTGCTACTGAACTTCAATGTTCCCTCAGAAGAGAGTTCGACATCTATGTTGTCAATAGTTTCTTCATTTATGAGAGTATTTATGACTCCAGCAATTTTATCTATTCTATACCCAGCTCTGTTAGGAAATTTATAACACTTTTTTTGTCATCTATTTCAATCTCTATGAAATCTGTTTCATCTGTTATGACAAAAGTTGCGATAGTATTGAAGTCAACAACTCTGAAAGCAAGTGCTTCATTCTGAAGACCTAAGTTTGTTTGTAGCTTTACTGTCCCGTATTCGTTTGGGTCTGTACTTTGCAAATAGAACAACATTTTATTCTCATTAAAATATGACTATTGCTGCATATGCGTATGAAACAAATGAAGCAGAAGAGAGCACATGAACTAGTAAACGAAAACTCAACTTTAAACCATTGAAGGCAATGATTTGTCATTGACGATGGAAAAACTAAAAAAGTCATTGATTTCGATACTTTTAACACTTATGACCCATTCATTACAACAAGCAAGGTTCCATCATAAATGATGGAACGGTGCAATATATAAATTCAACAGTAGATGCCTCATTAGTGAAAGTATTAAATGTTCTCATTGAATTGTTAAAGAGCTTTCGATTTGACGACAACATTAAATGCTTAAAGAATTTAGTCATGAATGAGAAACAATTCTTGGCGTTGCTGGTAACAGTAATGATGTACACCTTATGACATTTAGAATATTATAACGAACATAAAGATGAACTGAAAGGAGAGAAGGGTGACACCGGACTCAAGGACCACAAGGAATACAAGGAATACAAGGAATACAAGGACCTCAAGGCGAAAACGGTTTGGATGGAAAGGATGGAAAAAATGGAAAAACTGCTAAATCATGGATATGGGACCTTATAAATACTGGTTTAACAGCTGCTTCATATGGAGTTCTTCAATACCAAATCGGAAAGATATGGGCAGTACTTGGTGAAGAAGCTTTAGATGACGTTAAAAATGCTTTGAACTTCATTTCAAATGGTTCGGATACTATTAAAACTTTATCTGGTTGGATGCAAGAAACAAGGAGTCAAATAGATACTGTAAGACGTATAGCAAACAATGCACGTACGGGATTGGATACTTTACGAAAAGCACAAAATACACTAAAGGAAGCAAATGATATTCTTGGCTCAGTATCAGACATGCATGAAGATTGGCTTAAAGGTATTGACAAATCTTTAAAAAATCACAGTCAGTCTATTGCTGACTACAAGAAAAGTATAGATTTTTTACATAGTGCTATGGACGTACATGATGGAAGCATAAGGAACTTACTTAATGCTAACAATAACTTACCAGGAACTATTAAAACATTCATAAAGTCCTTTGTAAAACCCGGTGCTCTAACATTTAGGTCTTTGAGAGCAAGAGCATTGAAGTCAAGAGATGCAGAAACTCCAACAGAAGGAACTGAAACAACAGAAACTCCAGAAGAACCACCAAAACCAACAGCTAATGAAATATTGTTCGAATATTTTCCAAGGTACTCTGTTCTCATTGCATACATTCAAGAAATACTTAAGAAAGCAGACTTGACTTTAGGAGATGATGAAAGTTCTGTATATCTTTCGTTCCAGTTTCAAATAGCAGAACTTTTGAGACAGATATGCTTAATGTATGACAACATCTCTGATTTCACAAGATATGATGACGACCATGACCCCCAACACGGTGAAGAAGAAGTTTTAAAACATCCATTAAGACAGGAAAGGTTTTAACACAAAGTCTCATTATTGACACCAAAGATGGCGAAGTGGACGTTCTTCAAGAGCTGAAGAAAAATACTTCTTCGGGAGGTGGTGGTAGGCATGAACTTGAAATAAATGAGATAGAAGAGAAATTAGCCGAAAAAGCAGATAAAGAACATAAACACAATATCTCCGATATAAATGAACTTCAAGCTACATTAAATAGTAAAGCGGACAAAAATGAACTTGACGCAATGAACAAAGTTTTGAAATCTCATAAACATAATATCTCCGATATAAATGAACTTCAAGCTACATTAAATAGTAAAGCGGACAAGAACCATGTTCATTATATAACTTCAGACGAACAGATTATAACGGACTACCATGGATATTTAACACGAAGTGATGAAGCGAAGACAAAAAATGTTAATGAAAGAAGATATAAATACATTCGTGCTAAAGGTTATGACATAAGCTGTACTGTACAGTATGATGTAGCTAAAGCACCAGAAGCATTTGGTTATACCGGTGAAATTTATGCCTCTACTTTCAATGTTAACGGTGTATTAGTTGAACCAAGATTTACTTTGAGAGTTAAGTCAAAAATAACGTTTGAAGATGCTATTAAAAGTAAAGCTGACAAAGTTGAACTTGACGCAATGAACAAAGTTTTGAAATCTCATAAACACAACATCTCCGATATAAATGAACTTCAAGCTACATTAGACAGTAAAGCAGACAAGAACCATACACATAAATCCTTCACTACTGTTAGAGCAGACGACATAATATTGAACTTTGACCTTGGTTCAAGTGCACCTTTAGAAAATCCAAGTACAAGCGTAAAAGATACTCTTAACAATTTAGATAAGAGTTGCAGGAATATCGAAGATCATGCCAGAAACTTTGAAGCATATGAACTACCCGCAATGTTAGATAAAAAAGCAGACAAGAACCATACACATAAATCCTTCACTACTGTTAGAGCAGACGACATAATATTGAACTTTGACCTTGGTTCAAGTGCACCTTTAGAAAATCCAAGTACAAGCGTAAAAGATACTCTTAACAATTTAGATAAGAGTTGCAGGAATATCGAAGATCATGCCAGAAACTTTGAAGCATATGAACTACCCGCAATGTTAGATAAAAAAGCAGACAAAACAGAGCTTCAAACATTAAAGACTCAGATTCTTGAAACATTATATCCTATAGGCTCTATTTATACGTCAATGAACTCAACAAATCCAGCAACAGTTTTAGGTTTTGGTACATGGCAGCAGATTGTAGACAAATTCTTATACTGTGCTAACTCTTCAAAGCAAACAGGAGGTTCGAAGAAAATTAAAGAAGCAAACCTTCCACCACACACTCATACAGGAACTACAAACTTTTCTGGCGACCATATCCACTCATTAAGAGACCATCCATTATACAACTCAGAGTATGAAGCTGGCAATGACGTTTTATCTCCATCTTATAACAATGCAGCAAAAAAGACTTTTCGACAAACTGAACCGGGAGGAAATCATTCACACACTTTCACAACAAATCCAACAGGCTCGGGTGAAGATTATATGCCACCATTTGTGACTGTATTCGCATGGTATAGAGTTCAATGAACGCGCTTGAGCCTGCTTTGCGGACTTACCGCCTAGAATAAATCTTTAACTTTACATAAATGAGCTTGAAAGAAGTATTCGAACAACATCCATGGAGGTCATTTAAGAAGTTCAATGAAGCTGCAAAGAGTTGGGGATTTACTAACAGAGCTGAAGTTAAAAAGGTTCTTTGACAAAAATGTTGTACATCAAACAAAAATAAACCCTTACGACTACTTTTTACCAATTTACTCCAACACTCCTGACGCATACCAATTTGACACTCTCATTCAAAGCAGAAAAGGAGGACATAAACCATTCCTCATCTTCATAAATGTTAACACTCGTAAAGCATATGCATATCCAATGAAAAATAAAGGAACTCGTGAAGTGTTAAGAGTTTTACAAAAGTTTGTAGCAGAACATAACCCAAGTACTTTAACATACAAGACAGTGCATATCAGCAATGAAATCACAGAATTTCTCATTAAGCATAACATAACTCACTACACTACTGAAGACCATAACCATAACATACTCGGCATCATAAACCGCTTCATAAGGACTCTCAGAGATTTAAACCAAGAGCGAGACTTTACCGAAGAAACAATGAAACATTTTCTCGAAGTATATAATTCCTCAACACATTCTACAACAGGACATACACCAAATTCAATGACACAACAACAAGAAGAAAAGTATATACAAAAGAAACGAAGCCAAACACAAAATATCAGAAATTCAACACAATTTACCCTCATTCCTGGTACAAAAGTTCGTGTAGTTCTTGACGACAAACCGTTGACAAAGAAACGTTTAAGGTTAAGTCGAAATTATTATATCGTAGACTCTACGCAAGGTAATGGATATCTTATAAAAGCTGCCGACGACTCTATTGCGTTTTATCCTCGACATAAATTAGTCGAAAGTAGTAATGGCAAACTTGCTGAAACCATTGACGAAGCAAAGCGAGGAGTGGTTATTGAAATACTTGGCTATAACATAAACGATGACACTTATAAAGTAAGATATGAAGGAGGCGTTGAAGATGTTATACCATCTAAGAACTTGAGAGAGTCGAAGCCAACACATCTGGGACCATTAGAGCGGGAGTACTGGAAAGACAAAAATATGCCAGAAAGAATAAGAAAATTCTTCTAAACTTTTTCATTAGATGTAAATCAGACAAAAATATAATTTATGTGAAGAGGTGCGATCTCACCTGTTTTTTCACCTGTTTTTTCACCCTCGTGAATTTTCATGAATTTCCTTAAGATAGAAAAAATAAAGTTAGTTTTATTTTTATTTATTTTTTTATTTTGTATGTAAGAACAGAAATGTCAGTCGAAGCAAAAACATTCACGAACAAATCTAATGGCGAAACATTCACAAAAGGCACTTATAACGGTATTGAAGTCTTACGTAGAGACAAGGATGGTTACATTAATGCAACAAAGATGGCAAGAGAAGCAGGAAAGTTAAACCATTTAAACAGATTTCTCAATAGTGCTAAAATGCAGGAAATTCTTGAGTTTTGGTTGAAAGAATACGGTCGAGCCAAAAGTGGCTCAACCTCAAAACAAGCATTTTATGAGCTTACTAAGGGCGTTATGAATGAATTCAAAGGTATTTACATACATGCTGACCTCGTTCATTTTGTTGCTGAATGGTGCTCTGTAAAGTATGCATTTTATGTCAAAGATATTATGGACTCCATAGACAAGAAAGTTCATGAGAAGTTAGATGAAGAAGAACTCGAAGATACAGTGGAGAATGCTAAACCTTTGTTCGAAGAAGAAGTTGGAAAAATGTGTGAAAAACAATTAGAACATGAACGTGAGATATGTTATGGTTATAGAGATTCTCCATACGAACTAGACCAATGGGAACAAGAAGATTTAAAGAGAGAATTTAGAGAATATGAACTCGCTAAGATAGCATTTGAAGCTGCAGAAAAGAAGTTAAAAGTTTGGGGTCGTTTTGTAAAAAAAAATATTGTGAGTAAATGAACCATTTATTTTTATTGAATTCACCAAAAAATATAATTTAGGTGAAGAGGTGAGATCTCACCTGTTTTTTTTCACCCTCGTGAATTTTCATGAATTTCCTTAAGATAGAAAAAATAAAGTTAGTTTTATTTTTATTTATTTTTTTATTTTGTATAAAAGATATGATTTCAACAATCGGCACAACAACAATTCAAACAACAGCACCAAACTCGTTAGTCATGAATCCTACGTCAATGTTAGTAGAGATGAAAAACTTCATTCCTTCTTCATATACTTTTGAAACAAAAATCCAGAAGATAAAGCAAGAACTTTTAACAAGTAATTTAGACTGTAGTGCGAAAGATGAAGAAAATGAAGAATATCTTTATGAAATGCAGGACATTATTGACCATTTACCCAAATTGCCTGAAATCCAACAACAAAAACTCACTATTCCTGAATTCGACGAAATTGAAGTGAAACCAACTGACTCAGTAGAAATAAAGAAGTTCATACGTAAAGTAAATTATGAATTCCTTGGTTTTCATTGCAACCATAAGGTTATGGACAAAGATTGCGACATGGTATATAAAAACATTTCTGACATATATAAATCTGAGGAGTTTAAGACCTACGACAACTTTGTTTCATTAGTTGCAAAATGTGTTTGGGAAATAAGAGATAAAGATAGAAGAGGCAAAGTATGGAACGAACAAATAAGACCCGCTATGTTTGAGATGAAGAGAGCAATTGACGCCTTAGTTGTTTTAGCTGGTTTTATTTCAATGTATAACGCAAAAATGAACCCGCAATGTTCAAAATGTAAGGCAGCAATTAGGAAATATAACTACTCAGTCAAAGAGATAGAAAGAATGAGAAACGACTATGCAGACTTAAAGAAAGAAGCAGAAAAGCCAGCAGAAGATAAAATGAACATGTTAGAATTTCTGAACAAAAACTATCCAACAGCAGAAGATTTCCTTCTATCTGACGTCAAGAAGAAGTATAAAGAAACCTTCGGTATTGTTAAAACTTTTGACATACTGACAGAAGAAATAGAAGCTACGAAATTGTTTAGGATTTCAAATATACATCGTACAATTCATGTAAAACGCTTGTGAAAAAAAAAAAAGAGGTGAAAAATTAAGTGAAAAAAACAGGTGAGATCTCACCTCTTCACCTAAATTATATTTTTGCTTTAATTAAATGCTTTCCGGAAACGTCGATGAAAATCATATGGACAAATTATATGAAAAAATTAATAATGATTACCCCTCATTAACCAGGGAAATGACGGATTCTATAGTTCGTAAATTCGATGAAATACAGGATATGTGGTTCGACAGATTCGACATGAACGATAAGGAAAAGAGAAAGAACGATAACAATTTACTTACTAAAAGAATCCTAAAATCTAAAATAGGTGAAGCTTCAACATTTAACACAGTACATAACTTTTACACCGCTGTTTATATTTTCAATAATTTATTTAACGATGAACGAGAAAGAAAAAGTATGTTTAACGGAAGAAATGAATATGATTTTATCCTTTGTGCTGTTCGGGATGTTGACATGAAACTAAAGAAAATATTCTTATTACAAGATGACACGGTTGAAGATGAAGTCAATGAGTTTTTAAATCGTGATTTAAATGAAATTGATGAAGTTATGACTGAATGTTATAAAAAGTTCAAGGGTGAAAAATTAGGTGAAAAATTAGGTGAGATCTCACCTCTTCACCTAAATTATTTTTTGTTCAAAGCTTCCACGAGAGAAAAGATTCCTCATTCGCTAAGGATTCCAAAAATGAAAAAATCATTGATTTCGGCTGAGAAAAAACAGCAAAACCCTTCTTCCACGGGAAAAAGAAATAAAGAAGAAATAAAGAAGAAATAAAGTAAATTTTTATTTATTCCCGTGGAAGATAGAGCACTTTTATGACACTTTTTATTCACGACAAACAAGACAAACAAAGAAAATAAGAAAATACGGCGCTGTCGCGGTTCGAACCACAGACTCTGACCCCTCCATAACACCACCTTAGACCACTGTGCTACGTAGCCTGTCGACATAAGATTTTATAAATTGCATATTTGACGTAAATTTATTTCCATCTAGCTTCCCACCGCATAAGATATTCATACGTGTTTGTAAGACATTCATTAAAATTCTTTTCTATTGCATCTAATCTTGCGTTATTTTTTTCAATAGCTTGTCTGTATTCTTCATCATCTCCAGCAGTGTTTGGGTCTTCACGTTTAAAATATTCATTGTTAACCAATTTTTTATCTACAAATTTTATTAGTGTTTGATTCACTTCGTTATGATAACGGTCATATTCTTTCAATACGTAAGTGAAGACAAAATGCGTCGTACCTTCAATCTTAAAGCTTAAAGAACTTTCAACACAGTTTTGAGGGTCTGTCAGTGCGTCAATGAGATAGTATTCGAAGTCAGTCAATAATCTTTTTAAAGTCATTTCATACAGGATAAAATTTAATGTTGTGAAGAAATAGTGTTTATCTCAGAAAAAATAACGCTAATTTTATTTTTATTTATTTTTTTATTTTGTATGTAAAGACAGTAATGACAACATCAGAGAACACAACAATTGCTATCGTTCATGAAGCCATAAATGAAGAATACGAGTACATACAGTATAACAAACAGTTACGTCTCATTCGTTCAGTCAAAGACGATATGTACCAAATGCAAAGTATTTTGACTGCATGTTTTGCTCCAGACACTAAACACGCAGACGATTGGTTCAAAAACCAAAGCACACAAGAACTTTTGAGCGAAGCACAGCGAGACATACTTTTTTCTGAAAACAGTGAAGAACAGCGAGACCGACTTCCTTCAGGGTCGCCTAAAACTCATGAAAACAGTGAAATTTCTCTAGACCGACTTTTATCGGCCATGCATAAAACACATGAAAATCGTAAAAATTTGCCAATAAATTTAAGAGGATATTATGTACATAGACTTCTTGTAAATGCTGTTGCAATGTGGGCTTCGCCTCGTTATGCTTGGTATGTTTGTAAACTTCTTGACGAAATTCACAGACAAGAACGTGAACAGATGGAAAAGAAACTTCAAGCAAAAGATGAAGTCATTGAATCCAAAGACAAAAGCATACAGAAAAGAATACCGCGTTCAGTACCAAAAGGAAAGGAAAAGAGTTATAAGTATATGATATATACTGAAGAGATGGAAAATGAAGAAGATAAAGATATGGTTATGTTGCATTTAGTCAGAAGAAACAACAAAAGCTTTTATGACCTTGCTAAGATTTACAAATCTGACAGAAACTGGTTCTATCGTGAAAACTTACCGATTTCAATGACACCGAATGAGCAAATAAAGGAAATTGTCAAAAATACTCTTCCTCAAACACACTATGACATCAAAGGTTGTACAATACTTACATTCAAAGAAGACTTAACATTACTGAAGGAAAAAATAACAGAATATTTCGACAACTTCAAAGAGGAAGAATAAAAAAATCTAAGCTAATTTTATTTTTTTTATAAATTTTATCTCATATGAAAGAACATGAATTTAGAATATTCGGAACTCATGACAGAAGAGGAGAACGAACAGCATGTAAAAGATTATGCAAAATTTATGAAGACATACAAAGCATTTAAACAATATCTAAATGCTTCTAAAGATTATGCAAAATTTCTGAAGGTATATAAAGCTTATGAAAAAGCGTATGAAAAGTTTATACATTGGGGAATTGTTGTAAAATATCCATATGAAGACTAACCAAAAATATATTTTTGCTTAAATAGCTTCAGGGTCAATTTCTTCAACCATTTCACTTCCTTCGTCAATGTCAATTGAAGCTTCTTCAACCTTTGGTAAGAATTTCTGTATAACATCTTTGTTCGTTATTGTCTTCAGAGATGAAGGATAATATTTCACATTTGTTTCACCCTTCTTATATTCTTTCTGTTCGGAAAGATTCATAGCAATACTGAAGAAGTCAATGTTAGAGTTCTTTATGACAGTATAATGAGTATCTTTGACATTCACGAAGAAACTCTTTTGTTTCAAAACTACTGCTAACTCTTGTGAAGTATAACGTTTGCGGTCAATGACGATAGCTAATGGTCTGACATACTGACCAAACTTAGATTCTTTCACAAACTTCTTGTTAAAGATAACATTAACGTTTGAAGCATTATTGAACTCATTCTTGATGGCATTAGCGAGAGCATTGTATGAAAAGAACTTGCAATCTTGCATGTGTTTCATTAAAATAAAAATATTAAATTATTTTGAAAAATAACTTAAAAAAAATCTAATCTAATTTTTTCAAAAATATTTTTTTTTATTTCCTACTAAAGATGTATCGGAAGTTGTCTAAGTTAGAACACTCGGAAATAAAACAACTTCTTACAGAAGCTAATATAGATGTTGCAAAGCATTACGCAACAAACAAAAAAGCACTCGCTGACTTCATTAAAGACTATAATGGTGCAATAAGTTATGATAGAATTCATGAGTTCATTAATAACAAAACATTTCCTTTAAATGACGTTGCTATTGACTTATATCATAGACGTTCAATACCTCATGAAGTAAGGCGTGAGATGTTTGACATAACAAATGCAAACGTTGGTCATACTCGTAAAGCTCTTTCGCATGATGTTCGTCAAGAGATGTTTGACATAACAAATGCAAACGTTGGTCATACTCGTAAAGCTCTTTCGCATGATGTTCGTCAAGAGATGTTTGACATAACAAATGCAAACGTTGGTGAAACAAGAAGAAGAGACGACACACTGAAACAACAGAGAAGAGAGATGTTTAAGAGCGCTATAGAACAAGTTCGCAAAGCTAACGATGTCATTCGTTCCATTGACGACAAACCAAAAGAAGGTGAGAGATGGTTAAAGAAAGATGAAGAGAATAGGAAGAGAAATGTGAAGTCAGGCAATAGACTCATTGACTTTAACATCGAAGCTTTAGATGAACCAAACAGAGACTACTTACACAAACATTTCGGTAAGGTTTTCATGAGACTCTTAGAGAAAATTAAAATAAACTCACAACAGAGATGGATGGTATGTTATAAACTTGGTGGAAAGTATGAATGTTCTACGTTAAACCTCAATAATATTGGAACATTACTACATCAGCTCTTGAAGGAGAACTTTATATCAGAGATAGAAGCAAATGCTGCAGGTATTGTTGAAATGCACTATGACTTCTTCTTGACAAACATAAAGAATCTTACCGAAATAAAGATGTATGATTTAACAGAATATGAAGGCTTAACGATGTCAGATGTAAAGAAAGGCAAACCAAAAAAGAGACCATATAGAGATGAAAGCACACTGACAAATGACCAGAAAGCCATTTTGGAAGCTCTTAAGCAAACAGGAAACCCAGCACTTATAGAAAGCTTTTGGAAAGATAATGGTGAAAAGAAGTTTTATAAGAAGAGAAGCGGTCAGTTCTGGAAGTATCTTTGCACATTACCTATAAATCTTGAACGCTACCAAATCTTCAATGAACTGAACAAAAGAACTGCAACACTTATGACAGAAGACAATTGTTTCGTTTATGCTTGCATTCAGGCTGGAGTAGATGAAGAAACTATTGACCACATGAGAGAAGTCATTCGTGTTAGAGACTTTCCTCAAAGTAAAGTACAAGAAATTTCTGACGCAACAGGTATAGTATTTAATGTTACCATTGGTTACTTCAATGACTCAAGACATAATGAAATAAAGAGATACATACCAAAAGAATGTGAAACTGTTCGAACTATTGACTTACTTCTTGTTGAAGACCACTACATGCTAAACGAAAGATTACCAATGACAACATATTTCATTCGCAACTATATAGAAATTCTCAAAGCTTGTGGTGGAATGAACATTGAAAAACAGATGAAAATATATACAAAGAGAGAGAACAAATATGTAGTTCGTTATGATAGAACTACACCGCTATGGGATGTTATGAAAACATTGTGGGAGTGCAAATATTTCGAACCTATTTCTTATGGAGAACTTTTCACATATACGACTGACTTATATAAACAGAACCTTGCACCATTTAAAGATTTGACATATGCTCCAAAGTATTGTGTACAACTGAAGAAGAAAGCAGAGTCAAAAGAAGTAAATAAAAATAAGTGCAAGTTCATTCCTGAGCACGTTTTCTTTGCTGACTTTGAGTGTAGCACAGACGGCTTTCATAAAGCTTTTAACATATGTTACGACAGTGAAGATGGTTCAGTGAGTGAAAGCATTTGGGGTCAGAACTGTGCAACAGAATTTTTGGAACGACTTCCTGACAAGAGTTTAATATATTTCCATAACCTCAGTTATGATATAAACTTCATCTTAAGACACATGACAGAAGTGAAAGGAACTCCCATCATTAAAGGTTCACGAACAATGCAAATAACTGGCTTATATAAAGGAAGGGCAATTATTATAAAAGACTCTTACAGTGTTATAAATAAGAAGCTTAAACTATTTCCTGCTATGTTTAACTTACAAACAGGACCGAAAGAAGTATTTCCATATAACTACTACAGCAGTGTTTTGTTAGCAAATGACAACAGAACTGGTGTCATTTCTGAAGCATGTAAGTTTATCCGGGATGCAGATACATTCATGAAAAACATAGATTCCATCAAAGGTTGCAGAATAGATGAAAACCATTCGACTTAGAAAAATATAGCACATTTTATTGCAAACAAGATGTAAGAATTTTAAGAGAAGGTTTTGTTAAGTTCCGCAATGACATATTGAAAGAATTTGATTTAAACGTTTATGACTACGTTAGTATTTGTTCTATTGCTAACAAATTGTTTGAGAACAGAGTGTACTTCCCGAATGGAAATTTATATGACCTCTCAAATAAACCAAGAGAATTTATTTCACGCTGTATTCAAGGTGGAAGATGTATGTTGTCAGATAACATTAAACAAAAGAGCGAAAAGAAACTCATTGCTGATTTCGACGCTGTTTCATTATATCCATCAGCTATAGCAAGACTTTATACTTTAGAAGGTATTCCAAAGGTTATGAAGAAAGAAATGTTAAGCACAGAGTATCTCATGAGACATTTATTCGATGACGACCAAAAGGAACCCATTGGTGAAAAGTTTATGTCTGGCTTCTTTGTTCTCATTAAGATAACAGAGATTGGAATACATAGACACTTTCCTTTAATAGTTTGTGACCCTGAACTAAATCCAGAACTTAATGTTCCCAGAAGTTCAAACACTTGCTGTTTAATGTATGTTGACCATATAACATTACAAGACCTCATAAAATATCAAGGTGTCAAATGTGAAGTGTTGCAAGGATACTATTACGATGGAAACAGAGATATTAGAATAAGAGATGAAGTAAAGAAGTTGTTTGAGTTAAGGTTAAAGTATAAGAAAGAAGGAAATCCTTTGCAAGAAAATATAAAGCTCATTCTGAACAGTATTTATGGCAAAACTATTCTATCTCCTATTGAGTCAAAAATAACCATAGTAAATGACAAAGATGCTATAAGATATGCCATCAGAAACTACAACCATATAGTGAAGTTCGAAGGTTTGGATGGTTCAGATAAAACTATTTTCAAGCTAACGAAAAGTATTTGCAGACACTTTAACTTCTGTCCACTTGGTGTTAACATTCTGTCTATGTCGAAGAGAATAATGTGTGAAGTATTCTGTACTGCTGAAGATATGGTTCAAATATTTTACCAGGACTGTGATAGCATGCATATTTTCAATGAAGACATACCAAAGCTTGCAGCAGAGTTTAAGAAGAGATACGGTCGCGAACTTATAGGAAAGAACCTTGGTCAATTTCATTCTGACTTCGCAGAAATAACACCTGGAAAACAAAGTTTAGCATACAAGTCAATATTTTGTGGAAAGAAGACTTACATAGACTTACTCACGAATGATTTAAATGAAGTTGCATTTCATGCACGTTGCAAAGGTGTCAAAACAAGACGTCCTTGCTTTAACAGCTAATGAAATGTTTCCTGAAGCTATACAATGCTATTACAATGAAGATAAGAACATTCACATACCTGTTGGAACATATGACAAAGACTCTGAGTTCAGTTTAATGAAACTTTACAAAGCACTTCATGATTGTCAAGAGATTGGATTTGACTTATGTAAGTCATGTCAACCTTGCTTTGCTGAAAAGTTTAACTTCTCAATAACGACTAAAACAAGCTTTATTCGTAAGTTGAAGTTCTGAGGTCATTTATTTTTGTCAGCAATGAGGTCAGCAATGAGGTCAGCAATGAGGTCAGCAATGAGGTCATTTATTTTTGTCAGAAATGAGGTCATTCGTGATAAAAATAAAGCTAGCGTAGATTTTACAATACTGCGATGGTAGAGTGTTTTAAGAGTTGTGGCTCAATGTAGA